GATCGAGATGACAAGGGGAAAATATTGACCTCTGAAATTTAGTTCAGGGATCAAACTACTCATCCGGTAAGGGTCCACAAGGGTCGCGCGGGCATATTCCATTCAGCAGGCCAGCCGGTCATGGACAGACGGTCTTGGCCAAGGACAGCCGGAGCAACGGTGCGCCGAATCGATGTTGCTGCTAGGCCTACTATATTCTGCCGAGCTCGCTTGATCGGCAGAATTGTGGGCGTTGTAGCTCTTCTCGTGTGTTTGTGGATCCCGAGTTCTTGATCGTCGTGGTCTGTTTTAAGTACTCCTTCCTTTTTTCTTGCTGGTTGAAGTCGGGACGCACGAGAAGAGCACGTAGAAAAATAAATCTCCGTTGGTGGCCGATACCAAGTAACTGAGCGACGCTGTCGGCCTTGTTGATTTGATCGTAAAAAGTGCGTAAGACAGCTTCGGAGCTGTCGTAGGATTCTGTCGTAACCTGCGCAAAGGTTACGACAATTTCGTTTCGAGAGTACGGGTTTTCTCCCAAATTTGTCGTACGCACTTTTTTCGTCGTGATTTCGCTTTGAGAATCCAGCCTCAGAGCTGGTTTTGTCAGTGCTGCCGTGGTTGCCGACTTGCCGTGGTGCAGTGTGCGTGCAGCCCTTGCACATCTCAAACGGCCACGTTGTCACAGGTCGTAAATCGTCGAGGCGCCACCAAGTGACAACGCTCATAACCACAACATTCACGCCGTAGCCTTTCCCGTCTGGCACAAGTGACGTCACGAATGCGCCCAATATCCCAAGACGCATCGCACTCTCCGATGGCCGATTTTTGAGCGCGCGCCCAATCGGGCCGATTAGGGTGAAAAATATAGCCATCCGTTCAAAATACAAACGCGCAATTATGATTTATGAATATCATTGATCATATTGAACCTATTCCTGACCATAATAGGTGTATTTCAAGTTTCGCTTCAGTATCCCTTTAACGGCCCGGACTAGCGGGCGTTGACTTGGAGAGTTTTTGGGACAAGATGCCTGTCCACGCCAAGTGCACCCAACCTCCTTTACTTGCTTTCCCGCCCCCTTCGCTCTTTTCTTTGCTCTTCCCCCCTTTCTTCTCCCCCCTCTCTCTCGGTGGCCTAATCTTTCCCACTAACCCTCTCCCCAAATCTTCGGCAACTCGTTGCTCGTCGGCCTGGCAATAAAGACCTCAATGTGTTGAAAGTCGAAAGATGTTTGTCCTGTCCGTCCTCTTTGTCTGACTCTTTCGTATGTTTTTGAATTTATTACCAACGTGCTCAATCCAAGTTTAAAATTGGATAGCGTGCAAAAGCTAGCATCATAAAATGATGACGCCCTAAGTGCTATAGCTCAAGGAAAAGCTCCATGGAACCGCTAAAAACTAGCACCTAGCATGTGACGGCCGCCAGATTACTTTGCAGGCCATTTGCAACGGGACCTGGCCTCATTAAAAGCGGGATGGGATGAGAGTTACCACTTACTAGCACCACCTGCCGGCACACCAGTTCTTGCTTCGCAAAAGTCAAGCATGGCCAACAAGTTAGCAGTCGTTGCGTCTTTTGCTATGTTTATTCGGTAATAAAAGTTAATTGGGTTTCTATTGCTTTGCCACACCACGCCTCATCACCCAGAAGCCGCTCTCTAAGCCAACGCCCAACCATAAAAGGGCCCTGCAACGACTTCTTTACTGGGCTTTAATTTGCACCAAGCCTGTGCGCACTGAACGTAGTAACTTAGTGAAACTTTTCTTTTCACGAAATTTATTTTAAAAGTTATAGACACATTAAGATTACAGAAACAAGCAAAAAATAACCTCCTTCATGATGTCCCTGGTCCTGGCTTGGGTGGCCAATGATAGAAGCGAAGTGACTTGCCAATTGGCTGCAGCTTACGTCGATGGCCGCTTCCTCTGCAGCCACGTGCACTTCAATGACTCGTTGCTTGCTTCAGCCCTCCACCACGCTCGCCGGCATGAATTTACTGGGTCTGTCGAAGTTGAAGTTCAGAATCTTCGGTAGAAGTGCGGGGCTCAGAATAGTGCCCTACCAGGACAAGTGGTGATCATATCACGCCATAAACACGCACGGCTGCCAGAGGGACCTGGCCTAGCCAGCCTAACTGGATCTTCCCCCTTTCCCCGCACCGGAGAATTCCCCTTGCCCGCAACCGCAGTGACTGAGGAAAGTGGGGAGCGAAGGGGAAGACGGGAAAAGGAAACGAGGCCGAGGGGAGAGACCTGCCCTGGAAGCGTATTTCCAAAACTTTCTAGATCTGCCGCAGAGAAGTGTGCACCGATTGGCCAGATTACTACCGTACAAAATTTTGACAGCACGCCGTCAGATGAATATGCGGCGCAGGTCGCCGGCAAGAGTGTCTGCTACACCCCGCCGGATACTTGGGTGCTGCGATGACTTGGTGGACGCACTGTTGCCCAGTCCGCAAGCGTTGTTTCATCCACCAGTGCATATCCATAGTTATTCTGCATATCATGCGCATAAAAGTTGGTAGCAGAAGTTTCGAGGATGCCCATGTCCCCACTCCGACCGCTCCGACCTCAGCGAGGACGTTCGAAATGGCTCACTCCGAATGCAATTTGATAACAGTCGCTGCCAACCGTGGTGATGGTGCTTTTTGCATCCCGGCTGACTATGGAATTGTGCTGCCGACTCTGCCGGTGGGAGAGCTGGCCATGGAGCCATATTTTATGAACATGAAGAGGCAGCTGGACGTGGCAACAGGGAACAAAGATGAACAATATCTCGACATTCCGGAGAGGCCGTGGCAGATGGTCGGGAAGAAGGAACGCTATATAAGCGAGTAGCAATCTTCATCGTTGTACAACGAGGAAGGACTGATGCAGTGAGCCTGTTAGCCTGTGCTTAATGCTTTGGTGTCAAAAAGCGACAGGAAAACACTATGAGGCGGGACTGACAACACCAGTGCAATGGTACAGCTCACGTCCGGCCTCTGTATAGGGACTCTAAACGTCAGGGGCCTTTTCTGCACGTTGTAGACAGTGCCAGTTTAATCGCCTTACGGAGAATGACCTGTATGCGCTAGCAGTACAAGAAACAAAAGTAGAGAGTGAAAGTCATACCAACCTCATGGCAAAACCGTTTACGTCACAGTATAACGTCGCTGTGACCCATTCCATTGGCAAATCTGGGGGATGCTGTCTCTTTTTTAAAGCAAGCGTCGGGAATTGTCGAGTAACAAGTTACAACATGCGAATCACGACGGCTCATTCTCTGTGACTTTTTGTTTTCCCATCTAAAGTGGAGGGTAATTTGCATTTACATGCTGATCGTGGAAAGTAAACAAATTTCTTTTTTCAAAAATGTTTCTCACCATTTAACAAGCGATAGACCGCTACTACTACTAAGATTTTAACTGTGTATGTGCACCTAAGACCGCTCAGACACATCTGTAGTGATCTGTGATAAGTGATTTTGCCACCAGATGGCACAACGTGTGTTCTGTTTAGTATGCTTTGATGGTGAGTTTATCGGGTTGTCTTATCTTGTTGCTATGTGTGTTTATGCATCTATGATGTCACGTGACATATGTTAATAAAAGAGCCGCCGTCCGTCAGCGACGTCAGAGAACTACGGGACACCCAGCAGGCAACATGTCTTTGTCTCATTCTTCATAAGCCCCAAACGCGCGGGGCCGCGGCTTCCTACCCGGCCACATCATGTGAGTGCAGTTAGCGTCCTCTCCTTTCGTACCGCCGTGTAGAGGAGATTACTACAAATTTTGGGGACGAGGATGGGAAAAAGGAGAAGGAGGAGAAAAAGGAAGGGAGAAAGGTGAAAAAACGGAGTTGTTGTTTTGTTGTTTTGGAGACTGTTTGGAGTTCCCGTGTGGAGTGTGTAGTATTTAAATTTTTCCATTTTAGTAATTGCCACACTAACCAGATGGCGCCACTGACCGCCACACCATATTGCTGTAGCCAGGCGGCGCTACACTTCATCCATTGGGCCGTGCGCCCAGGTGGATCTCCCCCGGGGCGGTTGGCCCCCGGGTTGTTTCCCTCTAAATAAAAGAGTGCGTGTTCTGACCTCGGCCGATGTAGACGTCCCTTCCTTCCGGGTCGTTCCCACCTCGAACCCGCCGGTGTTCGCCGCCCCACCTCGGCATGTGAGACAACATCTTTCAGCAGGCCGCCTCGGCGCTGCTTCTTTTCCTTTCTTTTTTTTATTTATTGGGCTCTCCGAATCACAACATTTTTGGCGACGAGGATGGGATTTTCTTTGTTTTCCGATTCGGAGCCCGCTGCATAAATAAGGCTTAGCCCCGGCAGCCGGTGTTTCACGTCCTTTGTCTTGTGACGCCACGTTTTCCCGCGCGAGGTGTGCCGGATTGGGCCCCGGCAACCTCTCGTTCCCGTTCAACGAAATTCTTTTCCCGTATACGTTTCGCCGGATTGGGCCCCGACGGGCGTAAATTTTTTTTTGCGCATTTCGTGGAAAATTTCTTTTTCTTTCCTCTTACGTTTTCGAGCGGCGTCGTGCCGTTGGGTTCCGTTGCGGAGCTTTCAGAGGGCTCGCGTCCTATACTAAAGTCTGTCTGAGGGTAGTGGGCTTGGTTCTTTGTGAATCCTGTCCCCCACGGGATTTTGCCTTTGTCCCCGGGCGTCGAGGTCGGGACCGTACTCCACGTAGGCGTTGCATGTATTACAAATGTCACCATACATAGTTGTCTTTTGTTAGTATCTTAGGCGCACATGTAAAAATCGTTGTAAAACCCTTGTCGAGTGAAAGACCCGCGGAAGCTTGTCGCGGCGTAAGGGAGCGCATAAGGCGCGTTCGCTCCGGTGAGCGAGTGGTGACGTAAATTTAGACGCCTCCGGTCGTCGGATGCGCGCGGCGAAGAGAGAAGCCGCTCTGCTGCGGAGTCGGCAGGTTGAAATGATGCGAAGGATGCACGTTGAGAACACTCGTTGAGCCGAGACGAGGGTTGGCTCCTCGACAGAATGTGGATTGCTTAGCGGTTAAAGATCGCGAAAGGAGTACAGGGCCTGCGAGGAAACGAGGTCTTTGCATGCCGGTAGTCGCCATAAAGTCTTAAAGCGGTGGGCCGCGAGAACAAAGGAAGTCTTGGTCCGTTGTGTCCAAGATGGCGGCTCCACAGGGTCGCGTTCCCGCCGACTTCCTCCCCACGCCCGGCACGCCGGTAATGCCGTGGCTTACGTGGAAGCGTGGCTTCCTTAACTATCTTGAGGCGACTGACGCCGACGGTTTTCCGCCAAAGCGGAGAAGGGCGATCTTGCTGTCCTTTTTGGGAGAAGAGGGGAATCACGTCGTGGATGCGTTTGGCCTCGCTGGCCCGGCCGTTGGCGCGTTCCAAGATGAGTTTCAGGTGTTATTGTCCGCTCTGGACACTCACTTCGCTTCCGCTCAGAACGTTGTCGTCGAACGCAGGAAGTTTGTCACAAGGGTGCAGGGCCCAGGGGAGACGGTCCTGGAGTATCTTGGGGCGCTTCGGCGCTTAGCCTCGTTTTGCGACTACGAAGAGTCGTTGGAAAGCCGCGTCGCGGAAATGTTTATCTCGGGAATCCGTAGCGCGGAAGTCCAAGATCGCCTTATCAGAGAGTCCGGTGGAGCTCACGCACCGAGCCTCGAGCGTGCTGTCCAGCTGGCGCAGCAATTCGAGCGGACGTCTCGTGATTGCGATCTTTTCCGACGCTTATCGCTAGACGCAACCCCGAGCGCGCCGCACGTGGTCGAGCGGATCCAAGATGGACGCGGTCGCGACCGAGATGCTCAACATGGCGGGCAGCCTCCCCGCCGTTGCGGATCTTCCCCCCCGAGGCGTGAGCGTCCCCTTCCTCCTCCCCCGTCTCCGTCGCAGCGAGAGCCCTCCTACTCTTCCCTTCCGAGGCGGGGGCCTCCCTCTCCTCCGTCGGGACGCGAGCCAGCGAGCCGAGCCAACGCCGAGCGGTCCTTTCCTCCTTTCCCGCCCCGTCGAGTGCGAGACCGCCGGCAATCGCGAGCTCCCTCCCGACCGTTCTTCCGTGCGCGCCCGCGCGATCCTCCACCCGGGGCGCGTCTCCTCGTTCGCGACGACGGTTGTTTTTTCTGTGGCAGACGAAGCCACCCCCGAGATGAGTGCCCAGCATCCAGAGCCACATGTTTCTCGTGTGGCCGTGAGGGACATTTTGCAAATGTGTGTCGAAGCCGACCGAGGGACGACCGGGATCAACGAAAACTGGCCCTTCCTTCTGGGCGGCGGGCTTCTGCCCGCGGCTACTACGAGCATCGGCAAGCAAGGCCTGGTCCTACAAGGATTCAAGGCATCACCTTCCCGGACTACGAGCTCCCGGCAACAATCTACACCGTCGCGCCGCCCGATGATTTTCCGGAGCGGTGCCGTTTCTGTGGTGGCCGCTGCCACTCAAGGAAGTTTTGTCCGGCCGCACACCGTCGCTGCTTCTCCTGCCAGAAGCAAGGTCATCTAGACCGTGTCTGCGAGAGTCGACCCCGGTGGCCACGACTCGACCGTGGGGGGCCTAGCAACCCTCCCACCGTGTTCGCGTTCGCCCACCGGAGGCATCGAGAAATGCGTCACTTTTCGGCGCCCCGAGCGCCATGGTCCCGGCCCCGGGGAGGTACCTTGCCCCCGGAGCCCCCACGTCATGCTGCAACGGGAGAAAGTCCCGCGTTCCTGCTTCAAGGCAGGAACCATCGCAATCGTCTTCATCTTTCGGGGCGTCCAGTCCCCGACCCTCAAGTTCCAAGGTCCACAGTCCAACAAAGACTTCCACAAACAATCAAGAAATATCAAGAACGCATGAAGATGTACTCAGACAGAAGGCGTGCTGTCAAGCGGCCGACATTCATTCCTGGACAGACTGTCAAGGTCAACAAGCCTCGTCACCGAGGAAAGTTACAGATGAAGTATGCTTCTCCTCAGAAGATCCAAGACCAAGTGGGTCCAGCTACATACCGGCTGGACGATGGATCCACGTGGCATGCGTCCAAGTTGACGCATACAACTCTTCAACCTTCATCAACCAGAGCATCTTGGTTCCGGGAAGATTTGTACCCCCCGGACCCCCCTTTTTTCCCTGCAGTTGTTCTGCCAACAGTCCCGCCGGCTCCCCCAGAGCCGCCTGTTCCTGTTCTTGGTCCGGCCAGCCTGGACACCACCAATCCAGACCCCGAGGGTCCACGACCAGCCTCGAGCCAGAGTCCCGAGGCCCCCCCTCTTCTTCCTGAGGGTCCTGTTCCAGCTGGGAGTCCCCCTCCCGTTCCCGAGGGTCCTGCTGAGGTGCAACCGGTGCCTGAGGAGATTGCTCAGCCCCCTGAGCACTACCAGTCTCCTGGGATGTCCCCAGATAACAGCTGGTCAGCTGCCAGCTGGTCAGCCAGCCGTACAGAGACGGCAACTGAGAGTGCATCTTCCAGCACCTCCTTTGAGGGTGCACCAGAACCAGTGCCAGTGCAATTACCTGCGAGTGTGTCTTCACCACCAGTCACGACACAGCCCACATCTCCCAGACCGGAGCCTCCTGAGCTTCAAGATGTGGATGTTTCAACGCCCCAGCATCAAGGTCGTCCGTAACGATTACGCAGACTGCCAGAACGATTTAAAGATTACTTAGTGAACTGGTACGAAACCAGTCCCACGTTAAAGGAACTCTTAGATTAATTTTTTTAAAGAGTGCATACTAATGGACATTACTTCAAATCCACCCGAGTGCATTTCTTTTTTTTCTTTGTGTGGTGACAACAGACATTTTAGAAGACAACTATTTTCAGTGCTAGTACATGTCCATGAACATTTTTTTTTAAAGTGAAGTGTTCGATTTTATTTCCTGCAGCATGCAGTGAGCATTGTATAACTGGCTACTCGCCCAGTATTTTTTGCCAAATGTCTTTCCCAATTTTCATTTTTGCCCTAAGGTTTCAGCCTTGCTAGAGACGTCATGTGTTTACACTGCATTTTTTTCACGTCGCTTAGGCACCATTGTCGTAATTGTCAAACTATGCCTTGCATTTTCCATTTTTGTCTCCATTGAACACTTTAACTGATACAGTCAGTTCAGCCTTTTCTTTCCCCAGTTGTGTTTCCTTTTTCTCAGAGACTATAGCTGCTTTTGTACAGACAGCCTTCCCGTTTTTTTTTTCCTAAGAGGGAAGGATAGGCATTTATTTTTTTTAAGGAAAGGAAAGTGTAGTATTTAAATTTTTCCATTTTAGTAATTGCCACACTAACCAGATGGCACCACTGACCGCCACACCATATCGCTGTAGCCAGGCGGCGCTACACTTCATCCATTGGGTTGTGCGCCCAGGTGGATCTCCCCCGGGGCGGTTGGCCCCCGGGTTGTTTCCCTCTAAATAAAAGAGTGCGTGTTCTGACCTCGGCCGATGTAGACGTCCCTTCCTTCCGGGTCGTTCCCGCCTCGGACCCGCCGGTGTTCCCCGCCCCACCTCGGCATGTGAGACAACATCTTTCAGCAGGCCGCCTCGGCGCTGCTTCTTTTCCTTTCTTTTTTTTATTTATTGGGCTCTCCGAATCACAACAGAGTGTAGTCTTCAGGTCCAAGAGCTTGTTTTTGGAGATGTCTTTCCATGTGTTTCTTATATTCCTCCAAATGTCTTCAATGAGTCTTTGTTTTGCATCCTTACATAGCACTATGTCATAGCATGTAATAATGAAAATGCTTTAGGTATCCTTGGTCAAGGTAAAAAGATGTCCATGACAAACACCAACTAGCACAGATAAGGCCTGTCTTACAGAGGGCCCACTGACGAACCCAGTTGTAGTCTGAAACTCAAGCTACTACACAGAGCAGCAACTCAAGATGCCAGTGACCCTCCCTAGGTTCGCAGACAAGGCTGCTCTAGATGCCTGGTTCAAGGACACATTCCCAAATGCAAATGACCGAACTTACTCACCTTCCTTCTTTGAAGGCTTGCCTGATCTTGACAACTATCTCCATGAGATAGGAAAACAATCAACAAGATCAGGCAAAGATGCATGGGTAAGCAGGTATCTGTTCGATGGGCTAAGAGGGGCCCCGCCCTTGAGGGAGCAGGCATGGCTCATGAATCCTGCATTCTTTGAACGGGCCATGATACTGCTCGCAGGTGAAAAGGCAAAACCGGGCTCAGCAATGAAATTCCTCCTGAACAACTACGACAGATACCTACCTGCACATTCCAAATGCGAAGACCCAGAGGTACTAGAAAAGTATCGGACAGCATGCAGGGACTTCAGGGTCGCTATGGACCTCACTAGCTCAGAAGACCTGACTGGCATCTTAGAAGGCTCTGTGGCAACGAAAGTTGAGGTACCGCCAGCCCTAATAGGCACCTTCAGGTCGATGCTCCTGAGAATGAAGAAGCAAATGGAGGGTAGACTGGGTCTACAAACAGAAAAAACCGACTCAAAGACCCTGCTCACTGGGGTTAAGGCTTTTTTAAAGTCCAAGGGAAAGGTGGCCCCTCCTGTTCCTTTAACCAAAAGGAATAAGCTGAACATCAAAGGATGTGTGCCAGACGGCACGACCTGTAAAGCAACAACTGAGACAGGGTCCTACCTGTTTACAACAGCGATCATGCAGATGAGATCCAAAAGGGACACCCAAATTGAGACTCTGCTACAAGAGTTTGGAGCTCATTTCACCATGCTGGCAGCAGCTCAGGACACCCCAGACGACATCCAGGCCCATGCGAAACTCATGCTGGGATACATGGCCTGTTGGGCACAAGAAGTAACTCTGGTTGCAGCACTAGCAGGAGGCGCCACAGGGTTCTACCAGCGGGGGTCTGGTATTGACGTCATTTTTTCAGCCTATTTTTGGTTATACAAATTAGGCTGTAGGAGCTACATCACCTTCGGTGAGTTAAACGGTCTCCTAGTGGGAATCTCCCAAAACCCTCAAGGCAAAACAAAGACTCATTGAAGACATTTGGAGGAATATAAGAAACACATGGAAAGACATCTCCAAAAACAAGCTCTTGGACCTGAAGACTACACTCCACACGGGAACTCCAAACAGTCTCCAAAACAACAAAACAACAACTCCGTTTTTTCACCTTTCTCCCTTCCTTTTTCTCCTCCTTCTCCTTTTCCCCACCTTTTTCCCCTTCCTCCCTTCATACTCAATTCATCCAGGCTGTACGACCTTGTTACGGCATTTGGTGCCTTTCCCCTGGATGACGTCACATGTGAGGGGTTGGAGGGGTTCAGCTGTTCCCCTAGGTACATTCTGAACCTGAGGAGAGATGGTGGAGAAGGACTCACTCTCATAGGCAGGTCTTGGGAGTTATGGTATAACAGCCATGCCAGTGGGCCCTCCGAAGCCGACATCTCTGAGTCGGAGCACCTTTTTCACCAGTTTCTCCTCACCAAAAGATCTCCCTTTCAGAACACTCATCAGCTGCAGGGCAATGCCCTTAACGTCGAGATCGTGGCAACCCCAGGAGTTGCGTTTGAGGGCTTGGACCCCTATATCAGGACTCTGCGAGGGGATCTCCCTGATGACCCTGAAGATGTGAAAAGGGCACTGCCAGGGGTAGGAAGAGGACTGCGCATACTGCCACGCAGGTTCCGAGCAAGGGCTCCTACTAAAAGGAAGTACAAATGAGGAGGGACAACCACCGATGCCCGAAAAGAAGGTGTGAGAAGAGGGGGCAAGGAGGGCCCAAAAAACACAAAGGAGGAGACCAGAAACCCAGGGGGCGCAAGGGAGGAGGCAGCAGAGCAGCAAGGGAGCTGAACAGAGCAAAAAAAGTCAAGAAAGGAGGTGGCAGCAGGAACAAGGAGGGACAAGAGGGCATGACCCAGAGGGCAGGTGGGGAGGGCCAGTCAACAAAAAGAATGCAAGGGAAGGGACACCAGGCCAGGCAGGGAGGCACCGGAAGTAACAAGAGGGAGTCAAGAGGCCAACACCGGCAAGGGCCAACAGCCAGAACTACAGAGGCTGAGAGGGAACCACAGAGCACACAGAACAGCCAACCAGGAACACACCGACCAGGCCACTCCCAAGAGATGAAGTGTGCACAAAAGGTAAGAAGGAAGAGAGAGGGGAAGAGGAGAGGAAACAGTGGACACCAGGCACCACAGGAAAAGGGGGCATAACTGCCTGCAACAAAGGGAAAGGAAGAAAAAAGGGGAAAAGGTGGGAAAAAGGAGAAGGAGGAGAAAAAGGAAGGGAGAAAGGTGAAAAAACGGAGTTGTTGTTTTGTTGTTTTGGAGACTGTTTGGAGTTCCCGTGTGGAGTGTAGTCTTCAGGTCCAAGAGCTTGTTTTTGGAGATGTCTTTCCATGTGTTTCTTATATTCCTCCAAATGTCTTCAATGAGTCTTTGTTTTGCATCCTTACATAGCACTATGTCATAGCATGTAATAATGAAAATGCTTTAGGTATCCTTGGCCAAGGTAAAAAGATGTCCATGACAAACACCAACTCTTGACAACACCTAACCACTAACAATTACTAACATACACTACACCTGTGTCATGGACATCAAAACAGGAAAACAAAGGCAAACAAACTTCAGTCCAAATCTGTAGCAACTCGAGGTAGGCTATAGGGAATCGGAGACTGTGTTTGTATCTGATGTAGAAACTGTCTATGGGTTTTGTCATACTGTGGTGACATGGATGAAAAGAGCTACGGTACTGCTCAGCGTCGACCAGACGATCTGCCATCTCACTGCCAGGAACGCCGCTGTGAGCCGATACCCGGTTCCATGTTACAATTTTTTTTAACAGACAAGGGGAGAGCGTTGTCTTTATTGTGGTGAAATTCGAATTGTGTTTTGTGCTTTGTTTCCCTCCGTTCTTTTTTTTTTAATTTTAAGGAGGGAAGTGTGTAGTGATCTGTGATAAGTGATTTTGCCACCAGATGGCGCAACGTGTGTTCTGTTTAGTATGCTTTGATGGTGAGTTTATCGGGGGTTGTCTTATCTTGTTATGTGTGTTTATGCATCTATGATGTCACGTGACATATGTTAATAAAAGAGCCGCCGTCCGTCAGCGATGTCAGAGAACTACGGGACACCCAGCAGGCAACATGTCTTTGTCTCATTCTTCGTAAGCCCCGAACGCGCGGGGCCGCGGCTTCCCTCCCGGCCACATCATGTGAGTGCTGTTAGCGTCCTCTCCTTTCGTACCGCCGTGTAGAGGAGATTACTACAACATCATGCAGGAAAGATAGGTACAGTGAATTGCTGGCTCAAATCACCAAAGATGCCGACCTTGAGGACGTGGCGCAGTGCGTATCGGCTGGAAACTGAGCAATATACTTTGTTGCTGGAAACAGTCATTTCCAGCGGCAAAGTGAGGAACTACAAGAGAGTGAGGGAGACAACATTGATTTAGACAAAGTTGCCACCAAGAGGGTACCGGACTAGTAATCTCGGCCGCCACGGCGGCCAAGAAATATTACGACGAGGCCGCGATAGCGCAACATATCGTTAGTGCAGAAAAAACAGAGTTGTTTAAACTAAAAAGCTCAAGCTCAAACTGCAAATTTAGAAACTTGGAGACCTACACGAGAACTAACAAAAAGCTGTTTTTTTTCTCGTAGTGGCAGCAGTTATGTGTATGGCAATGTTATGAGACTTGCTGCCAGACATAACTGTTAGATA